CGGTGCCCGCGGTCCCCTCCGCCCGCCCTCAGCCGGCGGGCACAGCCTGGTATCTGCAGGGATGGCCGGATAGAAGGAGCTGCCCGCCCCGCAGGTTCCCGTCCTGTGTGGGTAGTGCCCAAGGTTAAACGGGTCACTCCAGACAGAAGGGAATGAGGGACATGGAATGAAGGACATAGAGCTGTCGGAGCGAACCTAGAGCAGGCCACCAAGTTGATCAGAAGAATGGAGCATCTCTCCTTTGGGAAAAGATTGAGAGAATTGGGATTGTTCACTCTGGAAAAGAGAAGGCTTTGGGTAACCTAACTGAGGCCTTCCAGTACCTGAAGGGAGTTTACAAGGAAGACAGGGAAAGACTTATTTACAAGAGCATGTCGTGACAGACCAAAAGGGAGTGCCTTCAGCCTGACAGATAGTTGGGTTAAATTGGATATTGGGGAAGAAATTACTTAGTGTGGGGTTGGTGAAGCTGGGCACAGGTTGCCCAGAGAAGATGTGGATGCCCCATCCCTGGAAGTGTTCAAGGCCACGTTGAACAGGGCTTCGAGCAACCTGGTTCAGAGAGAGGTGTCACTTCCCATAGCACGGGGCTGGCACTGGATGGTCTTCAAGGTCCTCTTCCAACCCAAACCATTCAGTGATTCTTTGAAGCAGCTTTCCCTCAGATTCTCATCTGAGTGTCCAAGCTGAAATGGGTCACTCTGGGAATAGTGTCCAGCACTGCTCCTTGCTCTGCTCCCCCACCAGGGGCTGGTGCTGGGTTCTGCGTGAGCTCCAAGAGAGCTGAACTTGGAAGGGAAGATTTAACAGGAGTAGGCTTCCAGAGCAGTATTGCATAATATCCCAGCCTTGACTTGAGCTCGGAGTTCTCATTCAAGGGAGATGGATCAGATTTCATTAACTTCTGCCTGACGGTACTGGAGTGGTGGCTTGTGACATGACACAGTTCTGGAAATGCACGTGACTTTATTTTTGGTGGAGCTTCTCTCACCTGCTTATATTTAGAAGGCGGGAAAAGAGCTTGAGGATTTTTTTTAAGACAGCAGTGAATAAAAAAGTAGTTAAGTAGGCAGTAGTCATGTGGTACCTGTAGGCCGTGCAGCTATAAAATAGGTTTTTATTGTGGCATGTGTGCTACTCTGTGCAAGTGCTTGAGTTTAAAACAGTTTGAACATCTGAAGTCATGCTCCCTCCTAGATACTTAGTTAGCTACTTAAAGTTTTGGTGTACTCTTAAATTTGATTTATCTCCAGTCTCTTCTTATTGAGATGGACTGTCACCTCTCTTAGGGCTTTAGTGCTAAAAAAACCTGGTGTTAATCAGTGAATAGGTGGTAACAATCTTGAAACAGCTGATAGTGACCCAGGGATGCCAGCTGCTGTGGCTGAGGATTTAGAATGGATTTTGTGTCTCCATTTGTTGTAATCTAAAAGGTAGAGGAAAATACAAATTTGTTTTCTCCCACTCCAAGGTCATGTTTTAAATTGAAGTTTTTTCACTTGGGACATCTTAGTGCAATGTGGAAGCAATTGTTCTAAAGTTACTGATTCATACACAGGTTGGTGAGTTTTAAGGAGGAAGATTATTTATGGTGACTCAAAGTTTTTAGTTCTAAAAGAAAATATTTAAATAACTAGTGGTGCATGCCTCTGAATCAAAAAAAAAGAGAGGAACTGACTGAAATCAGAAGTGGTTGGGATATCAAGCAATTAAAATCCTTTGGAAGCCT